ATGCCCCCTTTCCCCACTTCTATTCAAAATCATACCAGAGGTCCTAGTTAACAACATAAGACAGCAGAAGGACATTAAAGACATCCAACTGGGAGAGGAGGAGGTGAAACTATTTCTATTTGCAAACGACATAATCCTGTACATTGAAATCCCTAAAAGATCAACACCATGTGTACTTAGATAGAGGAATATGGAAGAGTGGCAGGATACAAGATCAACAAACAGAAGTTGATAGGTTTCCATGGACAGGACCATGGAAGAGGAGATCAAGAAGACAATACCCTTCACAGTAGCCAAGAACAGACTAGGAATATATTTATATAAAAATATAAATATATTTATATTTAATATAAAAAACCCTAAAGACCTATACAAGGAAAACTACAAGATCCTACTACAGGAAATCAAAAGCAACTTCCATAATGGAAGAACATCCCATGCTCATGGATTGGAAGGCTCAACATAGTAAAGATGCCAATCTTACCCAAAGCGCTTTATAAGTTTAACGCAATTCTGATTCAAATACCAACAACCTTCTTCAAAGAATTGGAAAAGCTGACCACCAATTTCATATAGAGAGGGAAGAAGATCAAAATTAGTAGAGAACTCCTCGAGAAGGACAAAGTCAGAGGACTCACTTTACCTGATTTTAACACCCACTACACAGCCGCAGTGGTCAAAACAGCATGGTACTGGCATAATGACAGATTCTTAGACCAGTGGAAAAGAATAGAAAGACCAGAAGTAAAACCATCAGCGTACAGACAACTGATCTTCGATAAGGGTCCCAAAAACATCAAGTGGGAAGTGGATGGCCTTTTTAACAATGGTGCTGGAAACAATGGATATCCACATGTAGAAAAATGAAACAAGATGTTGGTTTACCTCACCCCATGCACAAGAACAAACTCAAGGTGGATCACAGACCTAGAAGTAAAACCTCAAACCATCAGGACCATCAAGGAAGGAATCAGGACTAGCCTAAGATCATTGGCCCAGGGAATTCATAGGCTTACCACAATAGGGAAGGGTACACACACAGGTGATCTGAAAATTGACAAATGAGATTTAATAAGAATAAAACACCTGTGCACCTCAAAAGACTTCACCAAGAGGGTAACAAGGCAACCCACAGACTGGGAGAGGATTTTTAGTAATGGCACATCAGACAAAGGGCTTATTACTAAAATCTACAACACCCTCATGGCCTGCAAAAAGAGGAAAACAGTTAACCACCTAAGGAAGTGGGCAAAAGAACTGAAAAGAAATTTCACTAAGGAGAAGACCCGTATGGCCAACAAACACATGAGATAGTGTTCCCATTCATTAGCCATAAGAGAAATGCAAATTAAAACAACTATGAGATACCATCTAACACCCCTGAGGTTAGCCCAAATCAGAAAATCAGAGAGTGACAAATGTTGGAGGGGATGTGGTGAAATAGGAACACTCCTCCACTGTGGGTGGTCATGTAGCTATGTACAGCCACATGGAAAGCGATCTGGTGATATTTAAAGAAAATGGAAATTGATCTACCTTATGACCCAGCCATCCCTCTACTGGGCATATACCCAGAGGAGGTAAGAAATAAAACACGACAAGTCATCTGCACTCCAAGGTTTATTGCGGCACAATTCACAATTGTAAAGAGTTAGAAACAACCTAAATTCTGCCGATAGACAAGTGGATTAGTAAACTCTGGCACATACACACAATGGAGTACTATGCTGCACTAAAAAGCACAGACGAACACACAAAGACGTCATTTCATGGGAAGAGTTGAAAGGAATTATGTTAAGCGAAGTAAGCCAATCTCAAAAGGACAAGTATAACTTGAGTCCCCTGAGGTAAGTACAATCAGCACAGCAAGACTAGAAGAAAAGGTACTTCTCTCACAATGTATGGGTGGAAGCATAGACAGTCAGGGGGAGGTCAGACCAAACCCAGGGAGGTACACGTGAGTCCAACATAAAGAAGGGGAAAGGGGGAAGGAGATGATGACATGGGGGGAACAGGGCACTAACCCACTCAGGAGGAGGGTATGGTTGTGTCTCCACAGAATTGGAACATGCATACAGAGCCCACCGTGACACACCAAACCAGGAGGGCAATGTAACACGTGGAGGAATGCATGAAAAGACTGGACTACAGGGTCGGCCCCAAGAAAAACCAGCCTGACCCCCACCCTGGAAGTGTGTGCGGCAGAGAACGGCACTAGACCTTCAGGTGGGGGAAAGGAACCGACCTACCATACCCAGACAGACGCAAACCAAGGAAAAAGAGAAAGGGGCAGGCGGCCTAGACTCCATATAGGCACACCAAGGCCAGAGGATGAGGCCCCTGCATGGAGCTGCTTAAGGCACAGAGAGGACTGTGGGTCTACCAACAACTCAAAGCATGTTGTCCACTAAGTGGAGCATACGAAGATAGGGGACAATAATGGGGACACGTGGTGGGGAGACAGTGTGGGAATGGAGCATAACAGATCAGCAATCAGAGTAAAGCTGAGCACAGAGCCCCGGAGGAGTCCCAAGAATGGACTTTGGTCAGGGAGGGGCAGCCCCCCATCTCCCTCAGGACCAGGGGGGAGGGTCCCATGGGGACCAGCAAACAGACCTGGACCTATGTAGGGTTTTTTTTCCCTTTTTTCTCTCATCTTTTTCTCTTTCCTTTTCTTTGTTCAACAGTATGTTTTCTTATTGTTCGGACTAGGACATGGATGGTTTGCCTAGTTATACGGGTTGGACCATGGGAGGGTACCCTGGGGAGAAGGCAATGGGGTCAATGACCCCGGAAGGTAGAGGGGGAAGAAGGAGGTGGGGAGAAGGGTGTGGTGAGCGGACAGTGTCATGGACAGGGGAACAACTAGGGAAGCGGAACCAGCTTCTAGGAGAGGGTAGAGATCCTGTGAGTATCAGAGCAGCACCAAGCTAGTGGAGAGGAAGCACAGCACGAGGAGGTGGAAGAAGGGGGAAGTGATGGCGCAGCAGGAGGAGGCAAAAGGAAACA